CCACCACAAGTTTGGCAAGTAAACAAACGCTCATTCCTCTTTTCATAATGATCTTGCTAACGTTCAATGGCCAATGCTGAGCTAAACATGTTTACGAACCTCAGGTTACTAACCTATTTGCGCTCAGCGCGTCTTTGGGCCTTGTTGTATGAAGTTTTAAAGCCAAAGTTTATGATGAAGGGCTCAGCAGCTGCCGGTGTTTATTGTCCTCTCTCACGTGCTCGAGTTAGAGTCTCTAACTCGAGTCCCCTTCTCTGGTGTGAAGCACTTTAAGTGCTTGGAAGACTATAAAGGCCAGTAATGCATGCATGACAGGACGCATTTTCTTCTTACAGCTATCAACCAAACAATAACATTTCACACGTGTTGCACAATCACCAGCAATGCCTTGTCCTTAAACTGAGGGTTTCAGAGTTTCCACATAGCCTGGGCCTTGCACTGGGCACTGCACGGAGCTTCGTCTTTCTGTCATGGTGGAATGGCAGACGTTTCACAAGTTTAATTAGACTTCCTGACATAAGAACACAGTGTTTGTCCACAGTGTGAGCGCTGTGCGGAAAGGGTAGGCCAACGCCATCGCTCTGGGACTCACTCACCCCCCACCACCATCACCACCACTCCATTCATCTCCCCTGCCTTTCCCTCCTGTTCCTCCAGCCAACTTCAGTCAGACGCTTTTCTTGAAAAGACCTCGAGGAGAGGTCATCCAGTGCAGGAATGCCACTGCCCACTGTTAGTTTATGTATACGTGTGTGTGTGTGTGTGTGTGTGTGTGTGTGTGCAGGGGGACTCTAACTCTAAATTCTCCTCATGCATTTAGTGCATTGGGAGCAGGAGCAAGATGTTGACTGTGAATGCACTGTGCTGAGACAAAGGGGTTGGAGCTCGTCACCCAGCCCCTTTAGACACAGGGCCACTCTTGCCTGCTGAAGGCCCCCGGCCCAGCTTTGGAGCTCTTTAGGTTTCAGACTTAAAACCCCTCAGATGTCCCGAAGGTTTCTGTGTGAATGAATATGAATACCTTCACTAATCTGGGGGATTAGCTGCTGGATTGTCAAAATGTGTCTCTGGACCCCCAAAATCACCCCTTGACAGATTGTGATTCTCCTTCAGTGCTGTACTTTCTTATTTGACATTTAGCTCCTTATTTCAGGGTACCTCTGATTTTCCTCTGTCAGATTTGACTTTTAAATTACGAGTAATGCATATTAATCGCAGTAACAGTATGTGCATGCTGCAATGAAATCTGCGCCTGTCATCTGAGCTCTTAGAAGTCCCATTTGGATTAAGCAAATGGCTCCACTGTCTGTTGTAAAACAGGGTTACAAAGCCTGTCGAGAAGCAACATGTTTAAAGTCCAGCTGAACTGTCAATTTTTGCGTAAGGAAATATAAACTGTAATGAGATTATTTTCCGTTTTTTTGGACTTTTCAAAAGAGCATTAAACAGTGATAGAGAAGGAGGTGACAAGAGACTGAGAGGGATTGAGAGCCATATTAGTACTTAAAAAAGCTACTGAAAGATGCCCAGAACATTGCCGTGTTAATGCCACTGTAATGCCAGTCAAGTTACTCAAAACAGAAGACCACGAGTGTTACTTTGTAATTACAATTCAACATATTGGAGGACCCACTGTGCTGTTAAATTTGTCTTTTTATTTATTCATTTATATAGCATCAATGCCAGGTGTTAAGCGTGGACACAGGCAACCAAGAATTGGACCCAGAAGGCAGACACAGGATCAGAAAAGATGCAGCCTACAGAGTTTATTAACAGTGTTGGGCAAGTAACTCAAATTTTAATAATTTACTTTTTACTTAATACTCCTTAAAAAAATGATAATATTTATATTTTACTTAATATAGGGTATTGAAAGTAACTAGTCGCGTTACTCATTACGTTACTATATAACTTTTACCCCCCTCCCCCACTCCCAAAGAAAAGTGGCAGACAACCTGTTCAGCAGCTCATTTTAGAAATGAATCCACTTTAAGAAATCAACAACCAACTGAAAGCACTGCAACCTGCTGTACAGTATAGGCTATGGATATACAGTATGTAACAACAAAAAACCAAAGCCGTCTCTGCCGACGTTTTAGCTAATAGCATATTCACAACAGCAGCAAGGGTATGTTTTTTTGCAAAACATTAAACATTGGTGAACGCCAGTCTCTCTTGGATTTGTAATTATTGCTTTTTTGGAAATAGTAACCCCTTACACTGCAAGTTACTTGTAAAAGTAATATTACTTGTGTTAATGAGTAACGCGTTACTGCCCAACACTGTTAACAAATGAGTGAAACTTTAAATGAAGGTGAGTATAGAATTGGCAGACAAACATCCAATGAAAAAAAAATCCAGAATCACGCACAGGAAACAGGCATTATCCAATATACAACATTAAATACAAAAAACAGGCACCGGAGAAGGAGGGGACACTTGACATAGGACAAACAACAAGTAGTGAGACAAAGACTTAAATACACAAGGTGGCAGGATGATTACTCATTTCATTAAACATATTTGGATAATCAACAGGGAATGTACACACTGGAAGTACAGCAAAACAAGATGCAAGAGGCAGACACTTTCAAAATGAAGAAGTAAACTAACAAAACTCAAACCATGACAGACAATTCATAGCAAAAGTTATCTCATTGCACTTTTCATATAGAGCAGGTCTGGGTCGTACTATTTGTAATATAACTGTCAGCCAAGCTTGCTAATATTAGCACTTATTCCAGCTAGATGGTAATTTCCATGATGTTCTCCACGTAGTGTTAGCTGCTACTGTTTTTCTTAATTCTCTGCAAGTTCATTGTATGGTCAGGGTTTGCAGAATAATGATTATATAATGTCATTAGTGAGACTTATTTTCATTTTTATATTGTATTTCAATGTATTTAAAGTTGCCTATACCGATCATTATAAAATGGCCTCATCATCTCCCCCTTGCAAGCACAATTCTCTAAAGTATCTTAATCTCACTCACTTTGATGCCGTCTCCATGCCAATAACAAATGCCTGCTGGTGGTGTTGTTTTCATGTCAGCAGTTCCATCTCAAATCGCCTGTTTCATGCATGCAGCAGCACAGGGAGCAGCTCTTTGAATGCCACTCATGAAATACCCAGTGAAAAGTGAAGGCTGCCATGAAGAAGGGGCCGTCTGCTGTACTGTGATAATTCATAATTACATGCAAACTCCCCGGGGGCAGTTTTTACATTAGGAATTAAAACATCTCCAGTGAGTGTTTGCTTGTCCAAATAGGATGTGAGCTCCTTCCAGAACAAAAACCCTGCCTCCCTCACAAGGCTGATGTTTAAGTGGAACAGCGTTCTCCAGCTTACTTCCCTCCCACCGCCTCACTATGCTCATTTAGCATCATGCATATGCATTTCTGTTTGTTTGCTTTGGTCTGTTTTCACATCTGAAAACTTAGCCCCCAAGTAACTGGTTTCCTGACCAACTACAATCACTTAGTGTGACCATCCATCTTACAGTATTAGAATGATAGCAATATGAAAGGTCGATAGAATGTATTGTATCTGTAGGACTTACGACTAGTTTATAGCAATTAGCCTCCAAGTACCAGTAAGTAAACATTTTGTCTTGTAACCATTTAGCCAAGAAGTGCTTCTCCGTTCGTCATCAAGGCTGAATTACCAACCAGGGCAAAGCGGGTAACTTCCCCGTATCCCCAGACTCCTAAAAGGCCCCCCAGGTTAACTGTATCTCACTAGGGTTTGGTAATATGAACAATTGCAAATTTGTTTCGACATCTGACCTTTATTATCTTGGTGTATATTGTACTGATGCGGTACATATTCTTGAACCCAGATTTATTTAATCAAATTACCACAAACTAATTCATCATCAGGCAGAAACACAATCACCGCACAGACACGGACCAGTCACAGAAGCACTAATGGCACCAAGGTGACAAGGTGTACAAGGAAATACAGAAAACATGCTGAATCAATGTAAACTCCCAAAATGAATTCAAACACATAGTCTATGTCACAGATTGCCAGAAAAGGAAACAATTATCTGTCTAATGATGATATAATTATAGACAAAACGAATTTTGTCTAACTTCTCCCTTCAGTTTGATTTCTTTGATCCAACATGTGCACATGTTCCTCTCTGTTTTGAATATAAAATGCTTTGTCTGTCCAAATGTTTTTTCTTAAAGTAGGTGGCAAACATTTGAGACACAGTTGATCCCAAATCAGAAATCTCTCTCTCTCTCTCTCTCTCTCTCAAAAAATAGTTTATTTGGACAGCAGGAAGTGTGGTTTGACTCAAAAAACAAAGAAACACTGACTGGACTGAATTGTGTTGCAGATGCAGATATTGAACACAGTATCCAGACCTTCATTCTGTGTTACTGTCTGGATACCAGTATCTGCAGGAACAACACAATGGCAGCTGCTGAGATTAATAATCTCACTTTTCAGGGCTTAATACTTTCATCCACAAGAAGACTCTGTATATGTAGGCTATGTGTAGGCGACTCACGTGCTGTTCTAGGCCTAGCCTACTGGTTTTGTTGCTGCTTTGCACATCTGAGCTGCAGCACTGTTTACTTCTGCCAGACACTGTCTGTACTGTTCCTTACTTTATTGCTATTTCTCTTGCTTTAGCAAACCCTTGTTGTTCTTTTCATAGCACCGAGTGCGGAAGCTGCAATCTTAATCTTGTACTTGTGCAATGACAATAAACATTATTCTATTTTACTGAGTTCACGTTAGAGCGTGCAGCTTGTAAAATGCTTTGTGTCATCTTTCACCCTCACATTCCCGCTGTGTACACCGGGAGGAGGGGGGGGAGGGGGGCTAGGCCGCCGAACCAGCGAGCAGGAGGGGAGGGGTTAGAGGCAGCAGCCAGTAGTGCCATTCTCCAAGCAAGCTGCGCACAGTGGAGGGAGTACGCGCGCGATTCCCGCCGGCCCCAACGCAAAGGCGCGCCGCGCTGACGATGTTGTGAATGAGGGGATAGAGTGACGTCAGCGGCCGAATGTCAACAATGTAGCGGTGAGAGTAGGCGTTCCAGTCCAGTGTAACAAACAGCGGAGACGGAGCGGCACGCCGCGCGGGATCACCACGCGCACACACACAACCACGCACGCACGCGCTGTCGTACACAGCGGCAACAGACCGTAGAATAACATACGTTGTTTTTTGTGTAAGTGAGAAATAACCGAGTTGCAGCGACCGGAGAAGAAGTGAGCTCTCTGGAGGCTTTGAGGAAACGACCAAGCGAGGCATCATGTGAAAGAACATATGTGGGGAACGGACAAAAGGGCTGGAATACGAGCAGAATAGAAAGTAAAAGGTGAGCTGGCATGCACGTTTCTTGGCGTCTTTCCTCCCTCTCTGACCACTGTCCTGCTGGGCTCTCTCTGTCAATTCCGCGTTTGTCAATCTCAGTCTATTGTCGGTGTTCTCATAATCGAGTTGCAAACTTGCATAAGTGGCGTAGCGGTGGGCTAAGTTGCCGCCAGGAGAGTCCTCCCGGTGAGATATGGAAAAAGTCACTTATAGAGAGGAGAGAAAAAAAAACAACAGAAAAACCGCATGCATGAATCGTGAAAGCTTGGCGGTGGTGAGAATATTGAAGTGTAATGTGTTGGGGTGTGAACGCAGGTTCAGGAGTGAAACTCAACTCTGAACCACATCCTGTTGTGCTTTGAGTCACTGCGCCGTGTGCGCTCCCTTTTCTCTGTTTTTGCAAAGTAGATGCGTTGGTGATCCCAGAGAAGGGCCAGGCATGCCGCTGCTTTATGAGGACAAATGACAAATAAAAGAAGAAGCTGTCACTTACAGCGTTATTAAACACCTCCCTCATTCACTACTTCTTTATTTATCAAATACATTTTAATCTGAATATCTGTTATTATAATTATAATAATAATAATTATTATTATTAAATTATTATTATTAATATACAGTGTAATGGCAAATCTTATCTGCTCTTTCCCAACCTAAAAATCTTCGCTTATTACAACTCCTCATAAATCCACAATTAAAGATATCATCAAAATATTTGCTGTGTAATGACGAGCCTTATTTGCTCCGACAGCCAATGGAATCATTCCAGTCGCCCGACAGTGCCCTTTAAGAACCCGCATTTCCATTATCATTAATCCTTTATGTTAAAAAGATCGGGAGCAAGCCCCGCTCCATCACCTCGCCGAAAATAAAAGAACACGTTGGTTATGAAAACAGCTGCGCCTTTACGCGCGATCCTGCGTTGTTATTTGAATGGGTGCTCCGGCAGAGCCAGTCCCTGTCACTCTTGTTATGTGGGAGTCAGTGGGGTAGTGGTGAATTATGCTCCTACCTATTAGCAATATTGTTTCGTTAAATGTAGCTCATTCCTGTTTTGGCTTCCAACCAGCGGAGCTTCATCGACGCTCCCAGCGTACACGTTTGCTTTGCTGAGTTTCCGTGGGTTAAAAAGAAGCACAAGAAAATGTTGCCAGCCTGCAGCGCTGTGTCTCGGCGGAGTAAGAATGCGGAATAAATGTGTGGGACACTATTGTTTGATTGCCACGTGTTTGAGTCGGCTGCTAGGTGTCTGAAATCATAAGGGAGAGGAGTGATGCTGCCGTTAATGCGGTGATACAGCATTTTGAGGAGCAGTGACATCCACGGCATCACAGCCCCTTTGTCTGTTGTGCTGATGCAACGCGATGATGGTCGTGAGGGGATCGCAGCATCACCCTCCATCCTCATTTCTCACATGATGTTTTTCTTTCAAATTAGAACATGGTAATTACTGGATTTCCTGAATCCGTGCTGCAGGTGCTTGGTGGGAGGAGAATGTGTATGTCGTAGTGATATCTGATCATTGCCAATTTAAAGGTGCTTAAATGAAAACACATTGCCGTCCACTGGCACCGCTCTGCTTTCACAACACGTGCATGGCGACAGCACTCATGCGCAGTTTTCCACGCAGAGCCTTTTGTTCTGTACAGTAACGCCGCTGCCGTTCTTTTCCCATGCATGGCATCCCCCTGCATGAGGGGGAGGAGGGGGGTCCAAAACTGTAAACCCCACAGCCTGACTTGCCACTTCATCCAAAGTGCCAGTCTCTGTTTCTCCTCCTTATTTCACATTGTCAAATGAAATGTGATTTCTCTGCATCGGGATTCATTCTTTGCACATAAAGAGAGGAATGAAATGACAAATGACAAATAGCTTATTCTCTATAGTATAGTATAATGGCAAAGTAATAATACATTTAGAGAATTTAGAGAACAGTTATCACCAAACATTGACATGCTGCTCTTACTGTGCGGAAGAAGACGTTTACATCTTCAAAATAGCGAATTTGTAGTGTGTTGTTGTCTTACTGCATATAGTGGAGTTTTTAGAGATTTCTTCACCTGATACCTGAATCCAGAGAATACCTGTGTGTTGTTGTCCAGTCATTTTAAATCATTTATTTGACTTTACTTTATGGCATAAAAAATGTTGTTTATTGGTGTGGGCAGAAAATCCAGCCAATGATGAAGGGCTAGCCAATTGTTGGAATCAGTATCAAAATGTGAACATTGGTATTCTATTGATATACAGTTTATAACTTTACATGTCTGGAAAAAAAGAATCAGATTGATGTTCAGTGCAGTGAAGTGTGTTCCTCTGTTATGGCAGGCAAAACATATTCATTATTCATTTTTTTTAATGTAACATTCCATCTGAAAGATTCATTTAGCCAACAGAATTCTCTAAAAAAATAGCATGATATTATACTGATATATTATCACAATAGAATTCCCCTGAATGTCAATAAACAGTGATGATTGCCTAGTTATTGCATCACATTTTTGAAAATTCCCTCTCAATTCTACCCCATTCATTATTGTAAAAGCTACAAATTAAGAGTCTCCTTGGTGATGCTGGTCATGGACTGCACTGATGGATAATACTTTATTTAGTTGGGGCTATTGGTTAAAACGCATTCAGTTGTCAGTTTTGACATCACGGTCGTCATCAGGCAGGAACAAAACAAGTAGGAAAAACACCTCTTCCTGTTTACACCTCGTAGTCTATATAGGCAGTAAACTGTAAATAAACATTGCTGCATCGTATAATGAAATGACATCCACCTCTTTTGACAAAAAAATGGAAAGGACACATTTTAAACTAGTTGTATTTTTCATATTTGATTTATTCAGTGACATATTCAATATTAGATATGTTGGAATGTTGGAGAAATACTTTTTTTATTGTGTATTTTATTTAATTTGCTTCGATGTAGTCAATTATATAATAAGACCCTGAAGTTGCTAAAACCCCCATCTTAGAAAAAATACCCAGGACATGACCTCAGTGTACAAAATGGGAGCTACAACCCTGTTTGGGGTGTGCACCTGTCTTTTGCTTAAAGCATCCACACTTTATAACCATAAAAACGATGCACAAAACATTATGGAACATTTTTAAGCTTCCTCTATTTTGTCCGCCCCCAACATTCTCTGACAACTGCATCAAGTGCATTGGAATGGATTAAGCAAGACTTAATCAAACCACTGAAGTAAAAGATAGGTCATAATGTTGTGCAAATTGACTGTTATTATATACTGTAACAATGCCAACATCTCTGGAGTTGAGGTTGGTTGGGAACATCTCAGTCTGAGCGAGGCTGTTTTGGGGATCTCGACATAATGAGTCCCTCAGGGTTCCCAGCCACAGCTGAAATCCCACGCGGCAACAAGATCCCTTTATTTGACCCTGCCGGCCCCCCCTTCATGCTTTCCATTCTCAACTGTATGTGTCGAGGGTCTAAGGAGGGAAAGTGTTCGTATGTTGTACAGATTGTAAAGCCCTCTGTGGGAAATTTGGGATTTATGATATTGGGCTGGATAAATAGAACTGACTTGAATTGTGCAGTACAGGGCTAGCTCCTCCAGGTTTCCTCTGAGCTGGTGGCTATTATGTTTTATGTTGCTGAGTTACTATCAAGCTAATTACAATGCTGATGACAAAAGAAACTGCTTGTGTTCAACAGTAACCCTTTGCACTTGTGGGATAATGATCATAAAATGGCACTTGCAGGAGGATGTGATGGAGTGATTTCTTTGTGTGATTGTAGATTTCTCCTGAAGACAACCCCAGCAGCCCTGTGAGGTGCTAAAATTGCATCATTTTTATTCTTATGAAACCGAGCAGAGGTGTGGTTTTAAGGAAAAGCACATCCTCCATAAAAAGATGAATAAAAAAGCTGCAAACCCCCTTCTCTCACATGGGTGTTTTTCCCTCTGAATCATTAAAGGATCGTTTGCATCACTGAGGATATTTGAGTAACCCCCACCAGCTCAGCTCAACATCCCAAGCCAGTGCCTTGGCCAGGAAAAAAGAAGAAAACATGTTCCCATAGCTCTCCCACGTCAGCACAAAGGCATGTTTGACTGGGCTGCTGCCAGCGTGAGGCGTAGATGGAACAGCACTGCTGGGAGAAATCTAAGATCCTGCACTTTACACCAAGAGCTATTGTTTCCCCTCTCTCTCTGTTGTGATCCCTTCTTTTCTCCGTCATATGGGTGCTCACTCTTCTTCTACCGCCGCTGACTGCAGCGATGTGCACTGGCATTATCGCTTGGCATGTGAAATTGCATCCAGACCCGTCTTCCATCAGTCAGTGCCTGCCTGAGTGTTTGCTGCTCAACAAAGACATGTTGCCAAGAAGCTTTCAAATCTAAAACACCACAGGCAGATTTCTGATTGTTCTGTTGTTGTTTTTTCTTGTGCTGCCTATAAGAAATTATCCAGACACGTAAATCATCCTGATAGTTGCGTCAGACCTATTTGATGATATCACAGACTTGCTGTACTGCCTCAAGTAGTGAGCTTCACCTCCTGAACTCTGATTTAATACTCTTCAGAAAACCTGTCCTGTGGCCATCCATACGTTTACAACTGTGCAAAACATACTGAGCTAATGAAATTATGCACATCTGGTCCTAATAGCTCTGGAATTAAAATATTGGAGGGGTGGAAGCAGGAGGGCAGGAGGTTTAATAGTTACTGAAGCAGTTTAGAAGAATGAGCTGTGTGTAAAGTGCTGTTCAGTGAATGAAGAGAAAACGTTTAGCACAGTGTAATGACCTGTTTGTATTGGATTAGTGCAGCACTACTACTACTACTGGCAAGGGACTGGAAAACATAGTTGAAGTCTGTTTAAACTTGCACCCACTGTGCCGGAGAGAACTCAGTGTAAAGGTACTGTTGTTACATTTGGTTTCCTTACATCCAGTGAGCTGGAGGTGCGCACAGCTAAAGCTGGCACAGCTGCTATTTTGACATAGTTAGTCAGAAGAAGCCAGGCTG